AGTACCAGGATATCATATGATCTCCCAGGTGATTCAGCACAGTTCTGTAGTGATGGTTAGTTATGAGATTAAACATTGTTTAAACAGTTTAAGCAGGCACTATTAACATAGATGCTGATCCATGGACTTGTTAGTATAATGCCAAGACTGAAAATTTAGCACACTACTATGGTGCATAAGTAAGGATGAACTTTGGGAAATCTGGTTTCATAAATAAGTAGACAAAGTAGTGAGTTTGGAAGATGAAACACTGTCATTTTATTTAATTTTGGTACATATGAAAGAAATTTTCCTTGGACCACAATTCCACCGCAGGTAGTCATTCCCAGTGTGAAAAAAAGCACTCAGAAGTTTTTACTGGAAATGAGGCTGTGTTACTCTTGAAATGTAAGATATCAGAAGGGTAGGTTCATTTGCTGATCCCCAGTATCACACACAGCAACCACAGAGGAGGTAATTGCCTATCTAAACTGTGAGAGCAAACTGCAGTACTTGATAGCTTGGGGCAGGCATGTCGGTGAAGTGAGAGGTTTGTCACACACCTGCTTTTTGGATTGCATTGTGCTGGGCTCTGTCATAAAATAAAAGCAGCATGCCTGAGCCTGGGGGAATGGCACAGCCAAAAGCAGGTGTGTGTGCCACATGCTCCCCTGAACTGCAAACTGCTCGTGCAGGAGCAAGCAAAATACAGCCCTGTCTCAACCACACCGTGCTGCATCAGGGATGTCACAGTAGCTGAGAGCATCTTGGCCATTCTAATCACCTCGTGGGTAGGCTGAATCCACATCCCTTATTGACTTTTGTGTAGAAAACGAGTCCTCGGGTCACTTGGCCGGAGTTGACAGTACTTGCCAAGGAACACTATGCTCAGTGAGAGGACTGGTTAGTGAATTCTGATGTGTAATTATTAATGCACTGAAGAGATTCTTCTCCTTGCTCAAACCAGCATTGCTGCCATTGCACATAATGCAAGAGATTCGTGTGTCTCTGCTCCAAAGTCATCAATCAAATTTTGAAACTCTTTTCAATGAGGATTGGGGCACTTGAACCATTGGAAACTGGTTTGAACCAGGTGGAACCAGCTTGATCTGGCTTGAACCAGCTGGAACTGGTTTGATCCAGCTGAATCAGATTGGAAATGGCTGGAATCAGTTTAATCTGGTTTGAATTGTTTAGAATCAGTTTGAAGTGATTGCAACTGGTTTGATCCAGTTGAACCAGCTGGATCCAGTCTGAACTGGTTAGTACCACTTGGAACCAGTTTTGACTAGATTGAACATTAGTAGAAATTTCTTAATGAAAAGGGTTGTTAAACATTGGAATGGACTGCCCAGGGAGATGGTGGAATCATCATCATCCTTGGAGGTGCTCAAGAAATGGCACTTAGTGCCATGGTCTAGTTGACAAGTTGGTGAAAAGTAGGGTTTAGACTCGATGACCTGAGAGGTCTTTTACAACCTAATTGGTTCTGTGATTGCTTTAGTGCAACTCCAGATGGTTGGGCAACAAAATACACTCAAGTCAAATTCACCAATACACAAGTTACACAACCTTTTAAATATTACCCTAGATTTTATAATCATCTATTAGTTGCATTTAATTTAGAGTTGAGATTTCTTGAACTTACCTGAACAACTAAGGCAACACCTGTTAGGCTGCTAAAGACGCTTTCCAATGCAGACTCTTTGATACTTGATATTTCTGTCCAGGTATGAAAATTGGAGATCGATACTTGCTTCAGATGAGTTTATGAAAGGTATGGAGTGATTTTTAGTATATTAAAGGTGACAAAGTGATAGACTTACATTGCAGGTACTTTTAAGTCACAAACTTTTCAGACCGATGGAAAATACCTTCCCAGACAGGTTCTATCAGAGTAACAAAACAACCACATTCGGAATAAATCCAGGCAATTTGCACTTTCTAATCCCAAAACGCTGAATTACCTCAATCCTTTATCTCCATGTGAAATCTGAAATTTATTAAGATGAGATAACAATTCTGTTTATCTCATAGGGAGAAAAATAAAGAGCCGTTGGACAGACTTGCTCCTGAATAGGGAAAACCCAGTGCAGTGGCATTAGGGATGGGCCCAGACACAAGTGTCTTTTGTCAGAGTATACTGGATTTCTGAGAAAGCTCAGTGATGCAGACACGTGGAGCATCCTTGGATGCCCTTTCTTACACATAGTGGAGCATGGAAAGATTTGAAAGCATGTTTTCTAGATAAGACCCCTATCTAGATATTGGTTGCTGTTGCTTGAGCCATCTTCTCCAGGTCAAGGTATATCCACTTCAGTAAAAAGGTGGATACTGAACACCTCAGGCTGAAGCGCCTTTATTCCTCCATTGTCCACCACATCCTGGGTACCAGAAAAAGACTTACTTTCTTCCCAAGCTGAGAGCCTTTGGTCCCTGTGCCATCACTTCTGTCACAGCTGTAAACCAGCAATGCTCCCCCTTGCCCTACTCCAGGGCAGAGAGGCTGACAGGTTGGCAGCCACCAGGGATCCCTGGGCAGGGCTGCAGGGACATCATCTTGAAATTGGGATGGACCTATTTAATGAGGTCACTGAGCTACTAACTAGAAACTAAGCCTGGAACTATAGGTATTACTCCTGGGAGGCCCAAAAACATCAAAAATAAATTAACTCCGATTAATGGAGAAGCAAGCCCTCCCTCTCCTTTCCCTTGTGGTAAGAGATGTGCTTGTCAGCTGGTGCTGCAACAAATGCGTCTTCCACATGTGACATCTTTCAGGAGTCTCTCTTCCTGCCTCTGAAAAGTTTTCCCTGGAACAGGGGAAACAGTAAGTACCCCCAAAAAAGAGAGATGCTCCCAATTCACAGAGTTAGGGCAAAACTGGCAAATAGATATCCTACATGGGCACCCGTTCTGTTGGGTGAGCTAGGTAGCAAGAAGTCAGAGATTGCTGTGGGGAGCATCTGTAATCAGAAAAGCTCCTGCTCAGGACTCCCATTTTCCTTTGAACATTGTTAAAAGTTGAGTTTCATTTTCACCACTTACACAGCCTCAGAAACTTAAATCACAGATTTTGGTGGAACCTTCCTAGCCTGTGCTGTATTGTTTGAAGCAGATGGGACCTGCCCCCTTAAAAGATACAGAGCAACAAGGGGATGGAGAGGTGGAGTGCTCCAGTTGGAGAGAATCACTGAGAGTTAGAGGGTAAAACCCAGCCTGTTGGGCTTGAGACACTGCCTACTTGGGGCACCTTCCAAGCATTTCCAAGAACAAAAACTGCCCCTTTTCCATCCTCGTAGCCTGTACTAAAAAAAGAACAAAAAGCAACCAAAAAAACAAAAAAACAACCAAAACCCCAAAACAAACAAACAACTTCCCAAAAAACAGAAACAAAAAAACCACCAAAAAACTGAAACAACAAACCAGGACTTTGCCTTCCTGTCACACTGTAGCTTTATGTCAGCTGCTGTCGAGGAGAAAATACTGCTGAGAATACCCGCCAGACTCTGAGATGGGAACAGTCTGAGTAATTCCCTGGGAAGGACATTAAAGCCGAGGGGCAGGTGGACCAGAGTCCCTGGAGGCAGACAACTTCAGCGTCCCCAGGGAAACCCTCCTGCAGCATAAGGAAGGCTGGTAACTGTTTTCCTGTGTGGAAGGGACAGGGAGGGGAAGGCAAAGCCAGAGTGATGGGAAGATCCCAGCCACGCCTCTCAGAAAAAGAGTGCTCCTTGCCTCGCACGCAGCCCGGCTTGGGGGAACTTCTGGGCTGGAGAAGGCAGCGCTCCCTGGAGTACCGTGGGGTGGGGAGGGTTCCAGGACTACAGCCCCTGGCACTGGCACACGTGGTATGTGAAGTGCTGGGTCTGCTCATGACAGCCCCCCTTCTGCAAAGGGAAGGACAACTTAGAAAAGAAAACCTAAAACCAAACA